GCTGCTACCATCTTAGCCAGGTCCTGGTGTGTTCGTATGTCCTCCATAGGAACTATGGTTTGTAGTTGTTGCAACCAGATGAGGGTGGCCCGGACAAAAAAGGAGGCCGAGGTGGCTGCTTTGATGGCCCATGCCGCTGTCTGGTGGGTTTTGCGAAAGGCTTGTTCCCACTTTTTGTCATCTGCCTTAAGGGCCTCCACTAGGTCCCCAGCCATGGCTGTCTGGGAGACCAAGGGGGTCCAGGCTTCATCTACTTTAGGAATTTCTAAGGCCTCATTGAGGTCTGTGGCAGTGCTGTATAATTTTTTGTCCGTACCACTCACTGATGGGAAGGAAGCGGGAGAGTCCCATGGCTTCTTGATCCCTTTCAGGAAAATGGCGGGGCAAGGTATATGGTGTTGCGTTGTCACCTTTTCTACGAATACAGGTCTGGATGTGGTGGCCGGTGTCGCTTGCGGCTGAGAAAACTGATCCGTCCCCATGTCCGCAATGGCTGTGGCCTTGCGTAGTATCGTGAGGAACCGGTTGGGATTAAAATAATCCCCCTGAGGGGGGCTCAGGGGGAAGTTCCTCATCCTCTGACATAGAGATCCCAGGTTGATCCTCCTCTTGTGGTGAAGAATAACCACTCATGGAGGACTGGGCCGGGGAGACGGGTTCCTGAATGCCTGAGGACTCTGAGGGGAGTTCCGAGTGTGGCATGGCTGAGATGGAGGGCCCCTGGTCGTGGTGGGCGGAGCGCTGTGCTAGGGCTCGGTCCACCACTTTGGTTAATAGGGCCTCTAGCCGTCCATCTGCCCAGATGTCCCCTATGTCATTACCTTTGGGTGTGGTGACCGCAGGTGGAGAGTTGGACTCAGTGGTTGTGCCTGCCGCCGTGGTTGTTTGTTGGGCTGATGTAGATGGCGGATCCAGTGGTTGCGGTGTTCCTGGAATGGACCACGCGCTCTGGGTTGATGTGGATGGACCCAATGGTAATTCCATCTCGGTGGCCGCTATTTGAACCAATTCCAATTGGGCCTGCCTCTGCGCTCTGGAGAACTCCTTCTCCAGGGCCTGGTGCCTACGGCTGCCTTGCTTTTCCGCCAACTTGGAGGGCCTCTTGAGCGAGTGTTTTGTCTTCGCTTTGCACTTGCCTGCCGCCTTCTGGTCAGAAGGTGTGTTGCAGCCGTAATTGGGAGGTGGAGGGGTCGTGCTCATGGATTGAGGCAACGAGGGTCCCTCCATTCCGCTTGAGCAGTCCCAGAAAAACTGAGAAGACGCTCAGGCAGGCAAGTATTGGCGGGAGCGAAATTGGAACAAGTACCAGGACTGTTCCCCTGATCACCCGACCACAACAAAAATATTCTCTCTGGGCTAAGGTCACGGTAGCTGAGGGAGGTACCGAAGGCACGTTTGGAACCACTCTTTGGGTTCCGCCCGGAGGCCTTAGGTGACCAGGCAACGTACACCAGTAGAAAAAGGAAAAGGGAGGCAAAAAATATCAGTGGCGACCTCAAAAGGGTCTGTAGGCCTGACTTAATACACAGCAGGTATCAAATGGCGGTCACCTAGAGCGGAATTTATTCTTATTAATACTATTTCTTGTCTAACCTGATAAGCTGAGAGCCACGCCAAAACGAGTCTTCTCCGAGCAGAGACCAAGTTAAGAATGGACTCCACAGGAAGTGGGGGCGTGTCAAGCTTTGGCTACTTGGTCTCAAGAGCAGGCAGACAGAGAAAACCCATCCATGGATTATCCATCTCCTGTACTGGAGAATACACATATTCTTATGGATAATGAGGTGTAACAACATTATCATAAGGCATCAAGAGTGAAGCAGCCATGGCCTATAAAACTAGTGAAACCACTTGCTATTAGTAAAGCTTCTTCAATGTATGCACTATGCCAACAAGCAGTATATATCTAAACACCATGTAATATAATTTGTAGAGAGGCAGGGTCTCATCCACATTCTTCAATAGTTATGCACTTAAGAAACAAGTTATGTAAACATGATTTCTAGAGTATATTTCTCAGCATAACCAGTTTTCATTAACTTTAACTTACGTGCAAGAGTGTATCACTCTCAATATCATATTACTATGCATATATGGACATCAATAATTCTTAAATGGTAATCTGGTACCAATGCAGGTTAAAACATTTGGGCTACATTAGAATATATTCAAAAGTTTGTTAGAGATAAAGTGGCACATTAAATATTTGCTTAGTACAGGAAGTAGTTCCTTATTCTAATTTCAAATGTTAGTAGAAAGGCCACTATGAATTAGTAGTGGTTTAAATTCAAAGGAAAAAGCATGAATCTACACTCGTACATCTGTTGACAATTCCTTTAAAAACATTGTTTCTCCCTGGAATCACAAAGTTACTGCAACAGTAACCTCCCAAAAGATGTACCGTACTTTCCGGCATATAAGACGACTTTCTAAAGCGTTGAAATTGGTGCTGAAGTCAGGGGTTGTCTTATACGCCGAGTCGTCTTATACGCCGGAAAATACGGTACATGATTTCAAGGAGGGCAAATGGGTATTATGTATATTCTTTTCCTCTGAGTCCAAAATACACAGCCCTCTTATAGGATGTAACAGAGGATCCTCATGGTTTACATAAGAGATGGATAAATAACGCTAGATTTAAGTCTGAAATTGCCCACATTTTATATGACTAAAAATAAAGTTAAGATTAAAAGTTTAACCATGTTATTTAATTAAACGCACAGAAATAGTAGTTTTTCTTTTAATTATGTCAGCTATTATGCTACTATCATTATTTAATTTAAAGGGAAAAGTCACAATATTAATAAATAATAATCAAGAATACAGACTTAAAGGATCACATTTACAGTAATTTTGCATATTATTAAATCCAGCAGCAATCCTGTTCCAAATAAAATGAAAATATCCATTGAATTCATTAGATCAGGGCTTTTCAACCTTTTCACCCATTGTACCACTTTTAGGATATGGCAACATCCGAGTGCCACCAGTCACCTAGCAAGGTGTCAAAAACTTGATGAACAAAAAAAGGAAAAAAGTGATAAAGTACAGATAGTCCTTGACTTACAACAATTTGCTTAGTGACTTTCGAGTTACAATGGCCCTGAAAAAAGTGCCCCCCAAGCCATAGCCGAGCAAGATACCTGCCTACCCGCCTGGCGGCGCTCTTCCTCCTGTCCGAGGTTTTCATTGTTGTGAGCATTTCTGTTGAGGATTGACAGCAGGGGTGGGGGGGGTGATAGTTTTTATTCCCCCCGTCTGCTGGGTGGTCGCCACAGATTTTGGTCACTTCACATGACCCTGGGACACTGGGATCGTCATAAATATGAATCAGTTGCCAAGCATCTGAATGTAAATCACAACCCTGGAGATGCTGCAACATTCCAGCTGATCGGCACTTCTTCTGGGCTCAGCAGAAGTGCCAGGATCAGTGCTGCTTTCCAGCTGGACCCTGGAGCTGATCCTGGCACTTCCACTGAGCCGACAGCCCCGAAGAAGTGCCGATCGGCTGGAAAGCAGCACTGATCCTGGCGCTTCCGCTGAGCCCTGACAGCTTTGCAGCTCCAGCCATCTCTCACTCAGGCTTGTGCGGTGCTGCCACCGGTTTAGCTCATTCCCCTTCCCCGCTACCACTTTTCTAGGATGGTCGCGTATCACCTGCCAGGTGCCAATGTACACGTACCACTGGTCGAAAAGCTCTGCCTTAGATAATTGCATACAACAATGCTACCAACGTGTTTATCACAACACGTTTATCACACTTAGCACATTTTACAATAAAGTGGGCTTCTTTTCAGTAGAGATAGTCCTCAACTTATGACCACAATTGAGCCCAAAATTTTTATTATTAAGTGAGACATTTGTTAAGTGAGTTTTGCCTCATGTTATAACTGTCCTTGCCAGTTGTTAAGTGAATCACTGCAGTTGATAAGTTAGCAATCTGGTTTTTAAATGAATCTGGCTTACCAACTGCCTTTGCTTGTCAGAAGACTGCAAAAGGTGATCACACGACCCTCGTAAAGCAACAGAATTTTGATCACATGATCATGGGGAATGCTGTAAAGGTTGTAACTATGAAAAACAGTCATAAGTCACTTTTTTCAGTACGGCTGAAACTTTGAATGGTAAGTCGAGGAGTACCTGTATTCACCAGCTTCAGTTATATTTTACAGATAGGGGTCCTTGTAAAATTCTAGTAAAAACTGTAATTATTATCCTAACAGGTTTCTTGCTCTTAGGACAGCAGTTTTCCTATCAGACGTTGCAGATAAAGATTTGTACATGTGTTGCTGACTTTTGGCAAAGATCATCACCATTCTGCATTGCCTAAAACAGTGGTTCTCAACCTTTTTAATGCCGCGACCCCCCAACTGGTCGTAAGTCGAGGACTACTCAACCGGTTGTAAGTCGAGGATTACTCAACTGGTGCAGCACCGTTTGCAGAATGGGACTTTTGGCAGGCTCAGCAGGGCAGAGACAGCCTGGACAATTCCTATTGGCTTTTGAAAGCCAATAGAATTAGACTTTATTCAAGAGAGTCTATTCTATTGGCTTTCAAAAGCCAATAGAATAAAAGGGAGTAGCACAGCTAAGGAAAAGGGGGAAAAAATGGCAGATTGCATTGTTTGGTGACCCCGTGAAATGATTGTTTGACCCCAAATGGGGTCCCGACCCACAGGTTGAGAACCACTGGCCTAAAACAACAGATCAAACATAAAGCCACCTCAACACTATCACCAAAACTGGACTCTTTTATTCCTTCCTACCAAAAGACAGAATTTTTCTACACTGACATTCCAACATCAATTTCTCTTACACAAACTTTATATTCTCCTTTTGTCCTGCTGCTTCAATCCTATCTCTACCTCTGCAAAGTTAAAGGAACAGAGCACGCCTCTGGTTTGTAATGGATGCTCAAAAGCAAAGACACCAGTATCACATTGCTATGATTCCCCAGTCCATTCCACTGCACACCCCAGTAATAGAAGTTTCCGACTCACGTAAAAGCGAAGAAGAGAGTGGTGGCTCCTACTAAGAAGATTGCAGCAGCTGATACTGGGACATACTTGCTAGGTTTGAATCTCTTTCCAGATGCTGCTGGCATGTTGGAGCTCTGCTGGATGATCTGCCCTGCAGCATAGCCCAGGCCCAACAGGAGTCAAGAAGGGTAAGAAAATTAGGGAAAGAAGCTTTCTCAAAACATAAAACAAAACAAAGAAATCAGGGGGAAAGCTTAAATTATTATCCAAGTTCTCCAAGTTGTCTGTTAAGAGCCAGATCTTATTCACAATTATAAATCAAGATGGCATTGACAAAAAAGAATAAATCTGGATAGAATTCTTAAATGAACAGCACAGGATCCAATCAGGAGAATAAACCTAATCCCAAGATTTTTTTTTTTGAAAAATAAAAATGTAAAATTAAATTCTGGAAAAAGCAGTCACCATGTAGCTTCTGGAGAGTATCATCTTCTGAAGGTGAAAAAAATAGTTCAATAAGGCTGAAAACTGCAGCTGGATTGGAATTTTTAGTGCAAGAAGACAAGATGTATTGGAGAAAAATTCCAAGAAAGATGGTGTACTAGATATAAGCTCCCAATGGTTTTGATGTATTATTAATTCATATTATTTTTAGAAACCGAACAATTAATTTTCAAGGCAGTTTTTCCTTTCTAATTTGTTTTTAAGATAAAACAATGCATTGTGAGGGATGTTTGGGGAGTTACATTACTAGCAAATATGTTAGTCTAGAACATATGTTTTTCTGCCTCCAGAATGCTCTTTTCTCCCAGGGCTAGAAATCTGCCTCCTGATTTCATCAGGAACTAGGACTGAGTGGCAGTTGCTTGCATTTATTTTTCTCTTAAGTGCTAAATCCTAGTAACAGCTGGTAGAATGCTGAGCTGAAAATCCTTTTCGTTCAAGAGGAATTGTGAGGAGCAAACTGGAGGTTTGGTCCTGTTTCAGTCTTCTTAAATCATTAATAAATATAGTGTTTACTTTTTAAAATAGAAGGTAAATTTTGCTTCTTTAAAGATGCATCACTTGTACATAGAGTAAATCCAGACTGGGAGGCTCACAATTTTCAAAGGTTGTCATTAAAAAAAAAACAATTGACAGAAAACAAAAATGCAGTCTTCTTCCACAGTTATGTCATATAACATTTGTCTGCTCCAGACTGATCCACTGTCACACTTCCATCACACATAATATTAGCCTTTATTCATATTTGCTTTAATAATCTTCACATTATTTTAAAATTTTAACATCCAGAACTCTTCTCTTTACCTAGAAAAAAAAAAGAAAAACATTTTTATTTGTAACATTTTTAAATGAAAGAATAATTTATGAATAATACTCTTTCATGTGATTTGGTTTCTGCAGTTACAAATCTGGGACAATTCTGATTGTGAGATATGACACATTTTGTATTCAACTAGCCTCAAACATCCAATAATTGTCTTTCAATTTGGATAAGCTTAATGTTAATAAAACTAATATTAAAAGATTATGCCTAACATAAATGTAAGAACTTATTAACCTTCAAATCATTCACTTTTCACACATTGATGACTGAAATATATTCAGCAATTATACAATATTACTGATCTGCATTTCTCCTCTTTCTTTCTCTCTGTGCTGAAAAATCTATTTCAAAGAGCTGAGGCTGTCATCAAAGCAGATGTAAGGAAATGTACAGTAGGGAATGGAAAGGAAAAGTATGCTGCTTAGTTCTTCTATTAGCAGGCAGAAAGCATTAGCTGAACACTGTACTCCCAAACTACCTATTCAAAGAAAGACTAAAATCTTGTTGGTCAGGAATTCCATAACACATCTGGAAACATAAATTTGTTAAATCAACTTACTTTTAAAACAGACATGCACAATCTACTTCTCTCATCTACTTTCTTAATATACACTTCCATATGCTATCTGTAACTACTCTCCGCCTTTGCCATACTATATTTTCAATTATAAACTCTTCTTTTTTCCTCTAATCAGATTATGCATAAGTATAGAACCAAGAGGTGATATAGTGGTAAGGAAATCTGTGAACCTTTTAGAATTATCCATACTTCTGTAGTATCATAATTTACAACATAATCAGAGATCCATTTAAGTCTTATTAATGAAGAGATTTTAGCCAAATAACAACCCCTTTGTTAGAAAAAATTTGTAACAACCTAGATCAGTGATAGCGAACCTTTTAGAGACCAAGTGCCCAAATTGCAACCCAAAACCCACTTATGTATCGTCGGGTGCCGGGTGGACGTGGCCCATTGGGTGGGCGTGGCTGCATGGTAACGGCAGATTGGATGGGACTAAAAAGTTCAATCAATCAATTCCAACTTTGCGAGATCTTTTTTTTCCCCCGCAAGGTGAAATTGATTGATTGAACTTTTTTTTTTTTTTTTTTTGCACATGGTGGCGGAGACCTAAAGCGAAAAGGTTTTATAAAACCCAGCTGAAGGCCTAGGACTGGGGCGATGGCGTGCGTGCCCATAGAGAGGGCTCTGCATGCAACCTGTGGCACACATGCCATAGGTTCGCCCCTATGGTCCTAGATAATCAACTATTTTAAAAGAGTGAGTTGAATCAAATATTCCAAATATTCCAATCAATAAGATCAGATGTTGGTTTGTGGGCCCATCTCCAGAACAAAACCAAATCTTTTTTTATCTCCACAGTAGTAGTTGTGAAAATGAATCATATCCTGATCAAAATAGTAGTTGCAGATATGAGGACAGAAAAGACTATAAAACCACTGATAAAGATGTTGGCCTTCATCAATTCATGGTCCAGTAGAAACTGCAAAAATGGAAAAATGCAACACTGTTGCTACTCTTCCCAGAAATAGTCATCCAAAAACATTACCTTAAAAGAAAGTTATATAATAATTCTACAAGAATAAAGGAAAGGGGCTTGCAGGCCACTAAGTAATGGAACTTCACAGTAACAGCAAAGGATCTGCAGATTATTCTTATAATGCCTTATGTCAGGAAAAACTGAAAAGAGAACCATGCATGGGAGTAGCTGAGGATTTTGTCAAGTTTACTTGACTAAACAGTAGGCTATGAATAATGCTTTGAGGAAAGTTGAAATAAATGTGCAAGTTGCTGGCATTAATGAGAAATGTTGTACTTGGAGAAAACAAAACACTGTATTTCAACAAAATAAGTTCAGCCCAATTATGACACATAATGGTAGGATTATCATCATTTGGAAGTGCTTTGCAGGTTCACGACCTAGATGTTTTACAAACAATGAATTCTGGCCTTATGAATTCTACAGGAAAAGATCAGAACATGTGTCTGTAAATTGAAGCTCAAAAGAATGTGGATAATATAATACAAGCTTAAATACTAAGAGAACAGAATAAATACTGGAATTTCGGAAAGCCCGAGTCAAAGACCTACCCTTAACAGGTGAAATGTTGTAGAATATCTTAAAGCGAACAGTTCATGTAAGACAGATCAAAAAGATATGTGAGCTGAAGTAATTATTCAAACAGCAATGGGTCAAAAATGGTAACGTATGGGACTGATGAATAGGCAAAGAAAATATTGAAGATAGTTCTCGACTTATTACCAGTTGCTTAGTGACTGTTTGAAGTTATAAGGAAAAAGCAATTTACAGAGTTCAAAGTTCAGCTGCCCCGTATTCATAGTCACGTGACTGCATTTTGGGTCCTTGATAACCGATCTGCATTTACAGGCTTCTGGCAAAAATGCCCTATAGAAAACAATGGGCTTGCTTAATAACCATGGAATTTGCTTAGCAGCAGTGTTTGCTTAATGGCCATCACAAAAAAGTTTGTAAAATTGAATGGTGGTCACATCGTGACCCACTTAATGACTGTTGTGAATTGGGACCATAATTGTGGATTTAATTACAGTCATAAATTGAGGATTATAATGCTAAAAGAGGTCTACCAATTACTAAATCTTCAACTACAGTTTTAGAAACAAATAACATACAACTAATGTTGTCTTAATGTGATTTTTTAAAAATCAAATTCATTTTCAGCTGCTGTTTAACCGGAATTTCTTTATCTATTAACAGGCCTTAGATCAGCGGTTCTCAACCTTCCTAATGCCACGACCCTTTAATACAGTTCCTCATGCTGTGGTGACCCCCAACCATAAAATTATTTTCGTTGCTCTTCATAACTGTAATTTTGCTACTGTTATGAATCGTAATGTAAATATCTGATATGCAGGGTGTATTTTCATTGTTACGAATTGAACATAATTAAAGCATAGTGATTAATCACAAAAATAATATAGCAATGCTCGCTGGAGAAGCTTACTCTTCTTTGCTCAAAAATGTTGAAGGGGAAAGGAAGGAAGGAAGGAAGGAAGGAAGGAAGGAAGGAAGGAAGGAAGGAAGGAAGGAAGGAAGGAAGGAAGGAAGGAAGGAGAGATTGAAGAGGAAGAGGAGATGGATGGAAGGAAGGAAGGAAGGAAGGAAGGAAGGAAGGAAGGAAGGAAGGAAGGAAGGAAGGAAGGATGGATGGATGGATCGATCTTTGGAGAGTCATGTTTTCCCAGATGGTGATGAACTGCAATTCCCAGCATTCCCTACTCTTCCACAGTGTTTTTTAGGGCTGCTGGGGATGGTAGTCAAGTAAGGTCTGGAGACACACACAGATGCCCTAGCAGGGAAAATTGGCTGGGTAATTGCTGCAGCTTTATTTGGAGGCATTCTGCAGCTCCTGAAAATCACTTTAACCAATTTTCCCTGATTCAGCAAAGGCAACAAGTAATAAAACAAGCAACAGGTACCAGTAATAAAATAGCCCAAATTGTCCTTTCCAGCGCAGATGAAAAGAACCAGGGAAAGGGAAATCGCATCTGCCTCTTTGACCAACGGGAGGAGAAGTGGTAGGAAAAGCGTGGCATTTCAGCTTGGGCACACAGCCTTGCCGCTCCGCACAATTGTTGGGGGAGGGGGGAGGCTCTGGCGGAGAGCCAAGCGGTGTCACCTCTGGGGCCTTGGAAGCCACGCGGAGGATCTGCGTGCCTCGGAGCTGCCAGCCGCCCTCTCGCGCCCGCCAACCTGGAACCCTCCATCCTCATCCCGGTATCTCTTGCCCTCTCCCAGACACCCCCGGGACCTGCCCGTCCCTCCAGCCTCCTAAGCGCCATCGCAGCGGTGGGGTCACGGGAGCCTCTTTCCACGCCACGCAGACCTTCACCACCAAACTCTTCCTCGACTCATCACATGCGAGAGGGGCATGGCCAGAGTGCCAGCTCTCACTCGAAAGGCGCCGCTTCTCCCCTCCTGGCCCAGCCGGCTGGCCTCTGACGCACATGCAGGCATCACCACCACCTTGCCCTCTTCCCCGCCGCCTGGCTGCTACCAAGGCCTGGAGCCCCGCGAGCCAGGAAGGAGCCACTCCTGCCCGCCAGCCCCAGGGCCGCGCCAGGCACCAGAGCAGCCCAGCGGCAGCAGCGGCCCAGACCCGGCCGCCCACGCAGCTGAGCCAGGGCGGCGTTGGGGGCGTGTGCGATGGCGCTGCGGCAGCAGGAGCAGGCACTGTCAGAGAAGGGCGCCCTGGAGGCGAAGGAGCCGGCAGAGGAGGGCGGTGGCGGCCAGATAGAGGAGCGGTTTCTCAGTTCCTAAGACCATCAGAAATATGTGTTTTCCGATGGTCTTAGGCGATCCCTGTGAAAGCGTCGTTCGACCCCCAAAAGGATCGCAACCCACAGGTTGAGAAACGCTGCCTTAGATGAAGTTCAGGTCATATTGCAGGTCACAATGCTGAAATATTATAGATAAGTCTAAAGAGTCCACAGACTTTCTCTCACCACTGCAATCTGTTTTCTTGTCTTGCTCTTGCAGGTTTGACAACCAAATATATCAGGGGCCTTATATTTTTTATTTATTTGTATTGTGCCTTTATTTCTACAAATAACTCAACACACTTTCCTCCTCCTATTTTCCCCAGAACAACAATCCCATGAAAAGGTTTGGGTTGAGAGAGAGAGAGTGATTGGCCCAAAGTTACCCAGCTGGCTTTCATAGCTAAGGTGGCACTTGAAGTCAGCCTGCTGAGTTAATGCCTTAACCATTATTCCAAATTCTAACAAGAAAATCCTGTTTAATTCCTCAAACTTGATTTTTTTTTAAAAAAATTGCCCCATTTCCAAAAAATTACTATATAATATAAAAAAATGCAAGTTGCTTTGTAGAATAATTTCCTCTTTTAAGATACTGTGAACTTGTTAGAAACCCAAGCACCTTTTTCTTCTCTCTGGGTCTATAAATCACATTAAAATATAATC